AGCTGTTGGTGATTTTAACAATGACACTCGACTGGATATCGTCGTTGCTAATTATGGTAGCAGCAATGTAAGTATTTTTTTTGGTTACGTAAATAAGGGTTTTCAATACCAAATGACACTTATAACGGGTAAGCGGTCTGTTCCGCGATCATTCGTTGTTGGCGATTTTAACAATGATACTTATATGGATATTGCTGTCGCGAATTCGGGTACCAATAATATTGGAATTTTTGTTGGATTTGGCAATAGTTCGTTTTTAAATCAAACAACGTTTGCAACTGGTTCTGGTCCATGGTCTTTAGCTGTTGCTGATTTAAACAACGATAGTCGATTAGATATTATTGTCAGTAATATTAATGATAGTAATATCAGTATATTTCTCGGTTTTGGTAATGGATCTTTTGCAAATCAAACAATATATTCAACTGGAATTAATGCTGAACCTTATTCAGTTGCCTATGGTGATTTTAATAATGACGCTTTATTAGATATTATTGTCGCTAATTATCGTGCTAGCAATGTAGTTATATTGTTTGGATCTGGTGGTGGTAGATTTACAGATTCAAAAGTATATTTGGTTAGTTATGGATCTTTTCCGTTTTCTGTTGTTGTTGGTGATTTCAACAATGATAAAAAACTGGATTTTGCGGTCGCTAACTATGGTGATGACAACTTAAAGATTTTATTACAGACTTGTTAATTTATTTCTCTATAACTTTAAACATTTTTATTTTTCTATTTTATGTGTTTGCTATTACTAATATTTCTTATAACTTTTTTATTTTTCACTTCATTTAATATATTCGATTAGTTAGAACTATCAAATAAATATGTTCATAAATAAGAAAATTAAAATAAGTTATTCCACAGGAACACGACTTAGAACTAGTATCGTGGAACTATAAAGAGCACAAACCTTATGTATAAACGAGACAGACTCGAGTATGGATAGTGATGAAGAATAACTATAACATGCCTACATCCAGATATTGATTATGCTGTAGAATTCTATTGATATTTTCTTTTGTTGTAATAGAAGGTTAAATGTAAATAGTTTCATTATAAACAATACTATGATAAGCGTTGATGGTAATATTTAATATTCGCCGATAAAATAATTATATAAAAGAAGGAAAACAAAAATCGAATAATTTGCAATGTTCTCGGTCAGATTTAAATCTGAAATGTTCCTAAGCTTCCGATTATTTTAGAAAGGAAATAGAAAACAAGAGGAGAACATTTTGTTTTTCACAAAATATTCGAATTATTATGATTTATTTAATAAAATATTGCATAATCAATTTTCCACATGGTCATTATTATGGAAAAGTGTCACATAAACAACTTTCATCTTTTAAAATTGGAAGACAAGACAATCCCATTCAGTTTCTTCCTCTATTTATAGGTGATCATACGTTTATGATAAGAAGTAAACTAATAGAAGAGATTTATTGAAAAATAAAATCTGCGAATCTCGATAAGATACGTGTTCTTTGTTTATTTCTCTACTTCGCTCAATAGGTCACTCCAAACATATGTATCTAGGAAGATCATACGAATAGTGGAATTTATATACGATGCGACATCCAAATTCTTATTGCTGAATCTGATTGTATTGCACTAGTCGAATTCTATTGTATGATTTGCTTAATTTCTACTAGTTGGATGAAATACCAATTTGAACTCATATAATATAATAGAGTTTAGCCCTCAGATTCGTTTGAAAGATTGTTCTAGTCTGAATGAGAGAAAGAGAACGCTTCTCGTCAAACAATTTCCTGACGGCAAAAGGGACTATTACTCGTTCTCAACGTGATTGCTGATACGCACATTACATTCTACGAACTTCATCTCCTTTATCCAGCGGTTTTGGAATTAATTGGATGTTTCCATAACAATGTCGTCGAAAAAATTATATCAACGTATTTTATTTCTTTTCCGAATTTGCTGACATATTCATAGAAAGCATTGTATATATTAATATGGCGATGATACATTCAGTATGGAAATAGAGAGATAATATTAAGATCAATAATTCCTTTTTTTCGTTTAGCTATTTAATTAAACGACATGAACATTTTATTCTTCAATGACTTATAATCAATTAAGCAATAACTCAGTTTAGCAATAATAAAACTGGATGAGCAATACTTTATTTAGATTGAAAGTAAATTTCATATGAGTGAGGGTAAGAGAGCATAGACACTTACACCCACATGCAGCCATCCCTCCATATATATACAGATATTTCTATAACAATGAAAATCAACTCTTTTGAGAATAAAAAGTAATTCTGGTAGTATTGTTTGATTTTTTAAAATACTTTTCTTCTATTCAATATAATAAAGGTAAATACTTCAACATGAGTCATTAAAAGTCTCTTTTTTTCATTGTCTTGCATTTTATATGACACATATGTTGACATTACACTTTTTAGTTTTTCATTGTGCATGTCTTTTGACCTTCACTATATTTACTTTTATATTGCATACAGAAATTACTAGTCATTTTCACCCTGACTGATAGCCTATAGACAACTTTCTATATAGATAAATATGACTGATATGAACGATAATTTAACACTGTCACTTACATGTGCAATTTGTTTGGATTTGGCTTCAGCAGAAAATGCTATTGAAACATCCTGTTGTCATCATTTATTTTGTTTATCTTGTATTGAAAATGTTCGACCATGTCCATTTTGTCGAGCAAATAATTTTCAAACAACTCCTGCTTATTTTGCACGTCGCCTCATCGGTGATATGCTTGTAATATGTCCTAATGATGGTTGTTCTACTAAAATTAGTCGTTCTGATTTACCGAATCATATTACTGTTCATTGTGCTTATAGAATATTAACTTGTCCTGATCCACAATGTAAAGATTTCAAATGTACAAAGAATCTATTTCTAGAACATTTAACTAAACAACATGGACAGTTTATAACGAATAATTATGAAAAATTATGGCAAACACAGACCGACATTAAACAAATTACAAAAAATAAAAAATCAAACGGTAAAGGATTATATTTATGATTGTTTTGAAAATGGTAGTATGATTTTTTTTTGTAGTTGGCAGCAGTGCTTCTGCAACCAATAATGAATCTACTTTTGATGATCGAATTGAACAGACACAAAATAAATTTGGTCGAGAAGCACGTCTAGGTATAAGTGGTAAATTTTATTGTGGTGGTCAGTTAGATGGTTTACGGTGTTTATGTTGTAATGGTAAATGCGGATTATCGACTGGTTGTAATTGTTCAGGATGTATGTTACTTGATGTTAAAAAACGAAACTTATCATATGGATGGTTAGTTAATCGTGATGGAGCATCAGCTAGATGTAGTCCACAAGAACCGACAAAATTCTATTGTGGACGAATGGTAATGACACACAATATACGTACCGATGGATATTGTGGACCCACTAATGGAGAACAATGTAAAGCATGTCAGAAACTAAGTGAACAACAACATAACAGATATGGAGGAATTTGGACACAGTAATAAATTTACTTAAATCAAGAGTTTTTGTTTATAATTTTATATTATTTATATTTTTCTTAGTTTCATAATGTATCGTTTTTGATACATAACAATCAAGCATTCACATAAACTTCAAGTTGATACTAATAATAGGGTGTTATTTTCTCGATAATAATATAGGTTTATTATCTTATTTATAATTTTAATCAAGACTGTCTACGCGCTAAATAATAAAAGAGATGCTTCTAAGTAATTTAACTTAAATAGAGCCTTATAAATATAGATAAATATTGAGCACAGCTACTTTTGATTGTGTAGAAGAGAATCATGATTTACGCATAATATTTACAAAAAAAAATAATTATTAGACAAATTTGTTTTTCAATATAAGAAGCTCAACATGATCTTCGATATTCAAATACCTAATTAAATTCGATACGCCGCCGTTAACTTTTCTAAATATAATTTATTATACAGTTATAGTATAAAATAATTCTATAATATATATATAGGATTACAATAATTAACATGCAAAGAAGGTTTTGCCTTACAGTAAAATGTACTTGTATATATAGATATATTTTCTTTCAAAGATTTAGATTATTAATTATTTGCAGTAGTATTTTCTGTTCAGTAAACACGCAGAATAAAAAGAAATAGGATGCTTGATAAAATTCTATATTTTTCATTAATACTTTTCAATGGCGATAGACATATTGTATAATCTAAAGAAACAATCAAGTTTCTTTACAATAAACTCATTTACTCTTCATATCCTTTTTTTTCTAATTTGATTCTTTACATAATTGTCACTGCTTATTTCCTTACACTAACATAATTTCTATTGCATGTTAGTTTCATACAAACGTCATTAGTTTTTTTTTTTATTAAATATGATGTTTTATCTTTTTTTTACCGTATTTCTATTTTAATATTATTATTATTCTGATGTTGCATTCTTTTTTTTTCCATTGAAAGTAAATACAAGATATAACTATACAATTAAATTAAAAAAAAAACAACAAGCAAAAAAACGAAAAATATTTTTGCATTAATGATCATCACCGGCATTTTTATTCTATATTGTCTAATTAATCTATGATTTAAACAGTAGTAGATTTCGCAAGACATTGACTTGTTTCATTCGATTGTTCATAATCACTTGTACTTATATCTTTAATGTGTAATGAATTAATAATGGAATCTATTGATGGTTCATGAGGCATACTATTTGTTTTATTCGTCTCATTGTGTGATGATCCTACTGATAAAGTCACGCGACGAGGTGGACTTTTTTTTGAGCGTTTATGACGAGATTCATTTTGTTGTGTTAATGTATATTGTTGATGTTTATCTCGTGGAAAAAATCGTCTTAGACGAAGTATTTCAATAAGTTCATTACGAAATTGTGCACCACATATCATTAAAATTAATATATTTGATGTTGATGTTAATAATTCTACTATACTACCAAGAAAATTTGGTAAAATATTATTACTTGATTGTCCATAACAATTATCCGATTCCAGACGAAATAATAAATGATGACATGTAAAAAAATTTATTATATAGGATTGTAAAGCACTCATTAAACTTAATAATATTTCAACTAATATTAATGATAATGAACGAAGTTCAGCACGTGAATGACTATGTTTACGTATAGATGGTCGATTTGATATATAATAAAGACAAGTAAATGATGATATTATACATATACATGATGGAATAAATGTACCCATAATAAAACCAATTGTATAACGATTTTTTAATGATAAACGACGATCATATAAAAATTTATACCAATTTTGAAAAGTTTCAACTGATAATGGAAATGTACAATTTGCATATGAACCAATAAAATGAAATGTTTGAGTACAAAATTGATGTTCATGAAAATAATCTTCTTCAGGATGTGATTGTAATAAAGGCAATGTTAAATTATATATTGATGAAAGAAGGCTATTTGGTAGAATACTTTCAAGATGACATGTAGAACGTGTAGCATGTTCATGGAGCCAATCAATTGACATATATTCTTGAAGATGAACATAAGCTATAGTACGGTGGCGAATACGATACCAATCATTTTCTGTATAACACATTAAATTATTATTGACATCTAATGAATCATTATTATTAATTAATGGTGACACTGACATTTGTTGGTAAGTATCGGTGGGATTTGTAGATGTTAAAATTGAAAAAGTTGAAGATGAAAACATTGATGACAATGAAATATGTCCTATTGAATTATTTACTAGAAATAATAAATGTTTACATATATATATATATATATTTCTATTGTTTTTACCTGAATTATTCATAACTTCTGTCAAAATATTTGTTGTACATTTATTGTTCATTGAACGTTTGGTTTCATTAATTAATAAATCAATCTGTAATAATTGATTTTTTGTTAATACTAATTCTTTTATACAAAATGCATCATATAATTGTATATATGATACAATAATTCCATATATAAATGCAATTAATGTTAACATAAGTGCACACATTCGACTTTCACGATAGGATAATGAGGAAAATGTTCGTACACGTTGTATAGACATAAACATGAAAATAAGCATTGATATTTGTGTATATGTTGTATTATAAGTAAGCACCGCTAAACCTTGTCTATAAATCATTTCACGATAATAAATAATATCAATAAATTTTGATAAATAAATATTAAACCAACATGATGATGAAGCATCAAATATTAACATTTTAGCAACATGAGATATGAATAAAAGTAAACAATCATTAAAGAATAAAGCAACAAAATAAACACTTATTGAACGTGTACGAAAACGACGACGAAGAAAAACTATTATACAGATAATATTACCAAAAAATCCACAAATAAATATTGGTGCAAGTACATTGCACAATATACGTGGATTAATACTTTCTTTACTTAAAAACATTATTTTTATTTGTTTGATTATCTAAAAAAAAAAAGTCTATTTTTTTTCAATAAATATAATAATCTTATGAAAGTTGAGAATTTTCATTTATTTATAGGAAAAGGAATTTTATTAATTAGACAGGTAAGATTCTGTCTTCGACCTACTTCGTTATTATATTACATAAAGTTGAAAATATGAAATTGTACACAAAACAAAATAATTATATATCCTCCTATGTATTATACGAATACTAAAGAACGATGGAATGATAATAGTAGATTACTCGTATAGATAGATAGATACATATGACATGAAGAATTTTATTTCCAAAAAAAAAGACAGGTATTTTCAGATAGTATTATTTAGTGATGAGCAAGAGGATATATATTTCTTTCCTCTTTTTTTTTTTCTTTTTTGTTTTGTCTATCCCATAGAACGCAGAAAGTCATGAAGTAGGCGGAGAAAAACGAGAAGGAGAATGACGATGATGAAAACGAGATGAACCGATACTCAAAAGTCTGCACTAAACAATCTATAAAAAACGCATGAAAAGAAATTAGCATAAATAGAAAAGAGAAACGAACAATTTTATTAGTTTATCGTTAGAAATTCAAGAGTGGAACTTAACGATATAATGATCTTAGTTTGTCGCGACGAAAAAACATCTTTAAATATATTATTTTCATAAAAAGAAATATATATCTATATAAACACAATATTATATAGTTCTATTGAAATTTATCTTATCAACAATGTATTTAGAAAGTCTAGTTAATATGAGAAATAGCAACACGGGAAGTACCAGACGGGAAATATATTTTTCTATGTTTTCTACTATCAGTTATAAGCACATGCAGCGTTAGAACAGCATGTTGGCACATTGGTATGATTGGCAATCTCTGTGATGTCGATTGACGAGGTCCGACTCATAAACATTCTAATAATTCCAAGTCAATAACGATAATAGACTAACTTCTTGAAAGCAAAACAAAACGAGAATAATTAACCATTATCTTTGTTATTTCTTGTTTCGTTCGATATTTGTATCTATGTACTTCATGCACTAGTATTTTCATAGACAAATAAACTTATTTTTTCCCCCCCATAATTCTATTTAAAAACTTTCTGTATAAAATATCATTAAATAATTTTTTTTCCATTATCGAATACGAATTACGATCTATTAAGTAAAAATAATTATTTATCTATTCTATATCGTTGATTAACAGAGCACAATTTTTACAAATATGCATATATTTTAAAAACTGTCAAGGAACAAACTTAGATCTATGATCTATTGTCTTATAGAGAGAGAAAAAAAACTAATGATAATAATAACATTGAATTGATTATTGCAATTATTATAAATGTAATTTCATCTATCATTTTCATGTCTGACAACATGAGAGAAAATGATTGATGATAATGTCTTTAGGCTATATTTTTATTGATTATTCGGTTATCTTAAAATAGTGTTAAATATATAAACTTCAGGAAATATATAACATAAAATTATGATCAAAATGAACATTTTCCGCTTCAAAAAAAAACGTCTAGCTTATAATGAAAGACTATATATCGATAGAAAAATATTAGTTTCCGATATAAATAACACCACCTACTAAGAATGCAACAATTATTTGTCTACAATATACACTCTATTCTCTTAATAATAGTTTTAAGATATCTAAAAATAAAGATAAGATAATTTCGTAATTTGTTTTACCTCCAATTAGACTATGGGTGTAGACGAATAAATCAATATTATCTTTTTTTTTCTCTATAGTTCTTCTAACTATATTGTAATATATCGTGCTGAGAGATTTTTTTTTCTTTTCTCTATTTTTTTCTCTAAGCGCTTATACATCCGCATTAGTCTAGTATTTGAACTCCTTCATTACGGTCCATATTATTTACTTGATTATATCGTTCATGCAGAATTTATGAAGAATGACTATAATACCTACAAGATTCTGTTTTCCTTATATATTTTCTTTTAGATCAAACACCGATTAGAACGATGATTACTGCTACTTACTGAATAAATATGTTGTTGATTGAGCCTTGTTCTTTTCTTTTTTTGTCATCATGCTTTTTTCTTGAAAACCATTTGATGATAAGAATAAGAAAGAATTATCTCTTATTCCATATGATCACAATCATGCGTTTTTTCGTTTTTTGTTCTTTTACAATTGAGTGGAAGGGATTTTGATATGAGTGGATTATAGACAGATATAGAAAGAAGACAAACTGACAAAATAATGATCTCGATGACATTCAAAAATAAAAGCCTATCTATTTATCTAATGTTACCATTTACAGAAAATTATATTATATTAAATGCCTTTATATTAGTTGATAAAAAGACCTTTAAAAATGAAAAAATATATATTTAAAACTAAATTATCTGTAAAAAATTTTTTTTTTCTTCTTTCCCATCGAAGCAATTATATATGTTTACATTGAAAACTAAGAAACTCAAGACTTACTATTTATTTCTTTGCACTATTATAACCATTCAACCAACGATAAAAAGCAACAGCAAAGCAATTATATGACATAGAGTAAATAAATAAATATATATATATATATATATAGCGTAGGCACAATTCAGTCGTCAAAAGTAAAAGACAATTATAAAAATATTTCATAGTATTTACAATTAATTTTTCTTTCATAAATTTCCTTTTTCTTTCATATCTTGGTTTGAACTCTTCAATCTAAATAACAAAAGTCTCATCAACTTTCCAAGCATATAATTGTATCAACAAGTATATAATATATATATTTACTTTTTTGTTTTTTTGTTCATAATTAGATTCATCAATGAAAAGTATACTCAGTTTAATTGAATTTATTCTGCTATTTTCTAAAGAATAATCTTATCTTTATTATTTTTTTTTCATTTTGTTGCTAAATAGAATGTCTCATGTGTATACTGATAACAAATAATTAATATAAGTAACCTGATGAATAAAACAAGCAAAAGTAGATCTGCTAGATTTTCATATAAGGATGTTTCGCGTATTCTCTTTTCTATCGATTAGTCTTCTTATTACACTATGAAACATGTTTTGTTAGTGAATCAATGATTTATGCTTTTTTTTTGTCTCTTGTTAGTGTTATATTCCTAATACAATGACTTCCATGTTCTTCATCAAATTGGATGCACATGTCTTCCCTATAATTTTGTTTTTTATCTCAATAACAATCATGCATACACAATAACTATGATATATAAAAGAACACAGGAATAAATTGCAATATTTAACAAGATATAATCTATATTTTTATCACAAAAAAAAAATAATGGTAATAATAATCCTTATATTGAGATTCGCTATTGAACAGAGAAAAGATTCTCGAAGTTTCTTATTAGAAATATTTACATAATTATTCAATATTAAATGTTACATGATATAAAATAATTATTTTCTAATTAACTAGTCAATAGAGAATTGTATTTCATTATACTACTTTTCTTTTTGTATTCAAGATTTTATTATTTCTTTTCGAAAACAATATTCAATTGATTCAATAGTATTTATTAAACTAATATCTAATTTTATTACATGCTTTTTGTCATAAACTATAGAATACAAATCAGAGAGAAATAAATTTTTACTATGAATCACCAGAGGATTACTAGGTACAACAATAGCTAAGTTAATTTTCTGGATATTTAGTTATATGATCATGTAAATGAGGCAATATTGTAATAGGAATTTCTCAAAATAGACATTATTTATTCTATATGATTATTCTGTATTGTATCAAACAAATGACACAGAAAAAGGAAAGGTTAATGAAACTAAAGGGAAAACTCGAGAATATCATATTCTCCATATAATAATAAACATACTAAAAAAGATGTGTTATAATATTTCTCCTATGTTAATGTTATTTCTAGTTCGGCATGAAATATTCTCCTATCTATTTCGTTAAGAAATAACTGGCGTTTTTTTTTGTCTATAGAATATTTGTGCTAAACAGAATGTGAGCCATTCTCGTAATTCTAAATAAATAATTAGAAGCGAGACTTGGGGATTAATATGTCAAAGAAAATATATCGTCTATGTTAATAATACATCATCTTATACTATAGTTAAGATGGTTTCGTATCATGTTGTCAATTATTTACAGACGTTTCTTCAATCTATTTTTAGATATGTAAATAGATTAAAATCTTTATTTATTTCTAACCTGTTTATTTTTTGTCAATTACAACGTTTATGACATTACAATTTTGTTTTAGCTGCCAATAAATATCTTGTCCATTAATAGAAAATATTTAATCCATTAAGATTTCTAACAATAGTTGGTTGTTGATAATAAACTAGAAAATATATTTGAAGTAGTTATTATTTTCAGAACTTCTCTAATAAAAGCTGTCATATATATTTATATTAGAAGAACGCAACTAAGCCTTTATTCAAAATGAATTCGTTCTGACATAATACAGAATCGAGGACCTTTTTTTTTCCTCATAAGCAAAGCAATGATGAAGGATTATCATTGCTAATAATTAATATTTTAAGGGATATACCGTGAATATGTAAACTTATTTTTCGATTAATTTTACTGAGAAAAAAAAAGAGTCGAAATATTTTTCTTAGAAAAAGTATAAAAGCGATACGTTCTCTTTTATCTCAACTTACTATACTATTCTCTAGAGTTGAGTGTCAACTTTTCTTTCATTCAATTCAATAAAAATCAATAGAATAGTAGTTTTACATTAAAATCTATTGATCATACCCTGTCAATAGAAAAAAAATTCATTTTCTCTTATTTAGAAATCTATACATGATAGATCAATTGCATATGCGTTTTACGTCAAACAAAAGCAATAGATCGACTACAAAACAAAAAAATAAAAAGAATTCCTATTCTCAGAGTTCTATAGAAATGCTATTAAGTTCATCGTTGACAGCTGTTTCTTTAGGATAGAATCGATATACTTTTTATTGGATTCTCCATACAAATATTAATCTATTTGAGATCAGTTAGTACTAATGGAT